TCCCATTCTCAACATAACTCTGACCATGTAGACAGGGCATTTCATTCATCTGCCAAGTGCTTTACAAACAGCAAGTCAAAATTTGCTGCCATGTACACAGTGGTCTTCAAGTGAGTTTTCACTCAGAGCCAGGTCTGCCATTCTCATTCAGGCAAAAGCACCAGTGGCCGATTTGCCTGAGTGTAAATTGCAGGATATGACCCACTACGAGGGCTGCCCATTACTGATGGGACAGAGATTATGTGAGTAGCCCAGAGTCACAGAGGGATTCCATGTCACGGGGATTAGAACTCTGGTTCCCATTTTAGATCGTCTCTCTTTGTTTCCTAGGAGCAGATTTCTGAGGTTTCCAGTTTCGAAATCATACACATTTTGGACCCTCATTACGCAACTCCGTGCTGCCACCAAGCAGAGCTTTCAGAGCAAAGAGAAAAGGGCATATAGGGAGTTTTTTAAAAAAAGCCAGATTCTCTGACCGACTCCTGAAAGTAGCTAGAGCTGAGAAAGCAACAGCAGAGTGGAGTGCTCCGCTGGCATAGATAGAACTCCCGCTTCAGTCCTCAGTGTGCGGCCCAACTTTTACTGTCTGATGGACAGCCCATGGGCCCCTTTCGTTCTGGTCTGCACCAGGTCTAAGACTAGTAAAGAACCAACCCCAGCGAGCTATGGGCAGTTCCCTGGCAGACCCTTTTTCTATCCCTGCTAGCTGTACTCTACAGAAGCTCCAGGCAGATGAAAATCTGGTCCTATATTTGCTCAATATAAAATCCCTAGCTCTGAAGTTCCAGAGTCTGGAATGGCCTGGAGCATTTGTGAGTTTCCTGCTCAGCCCCCTGAGGATGCAGCCAGGATGACATCCACCTGCAGGCAAACAATTGAAACTCCTAGAGCCAGGGAATGTTAGTGACACACACATGCCCCAGAGAGGCGTGTGTCATGGCTGTGATTGTGCATCCACTTCCACTGCTCTCATTTGCTGTGCTGGAAAGGTTTTTCTCTGTAAATCGCAGAATAAAAGTTGCCATGGGATACTTTTTGCTTTTTATAGCACCGCAGACTACAGACTTCCTTTGTGTTTGACCTCGGAGAAAGCGTCTGTGGGACCAGTCTTTACAAACTCGGAATGGGGAGCGCCGTTGATGAGTGCCTCCTGCAAGCTGCTGAGCATCCTCCGATCCTAGTGAAGGGAACAGGCATTGAGGGCACTCAGCACCTCACAGACCTGGCCCTCTGGCCAGTGTTTGTTACTAAAGGTTTTAGACTTTTTTTTCAGGACAAGTTAACCCTCTCTAAACCAGCACTCTCTGACAGGTGCCTGGCACAGGACGGAGGGGCTGAGAGCTTGGTATACAGCAGCAGGGGGGAAACAGCCAGTGGGCTGGTGGCCAGGTCAGGGCTACCTCCCCGGGTCAGGCAAAATCCCTCATATGGGACAACTCACATCCTGAGGGTGCTGCACCAAGGAGGTCCAACCTGTATTTCACTCATCCAGGGCCTAATCCTGGTCCTGATAATTCAATAGGTTCGGGATTGGTCCCCATGTTTGTTATAAGTATCAATTCTGAGGAGGCCATTTTGATAGAGCAAGGGAAGAACCTTCTCTCAGGCCTCCATTCTGCTAGGGGCTGAATGACTCCAGTCCCTTCTGACTGAGGTAACTCAATGCTCGGCTTGTCTAATGAATAGAGCCCTACCAAATTCATGGTCCATTTTTGGCCAATTTCAGGGTCATAAGATTTTTTAAATCGCCAAGTTCAATATTTCAGCTATTCAAATCTGAACATTCGTGGTGTTGTAATTGTAGGGATCCTGACCCCTACAGAAGAGGGGTTGCAAATTTATTGGGGGTGGGGGTTGCAGTGCTACTGATGGTGGCACTGTCTTTAGAGCTGGGTGGCTGGACAGCAGCAGATGCTGGCTAGGAACCCAGCTCTGAAGGCAGAGCTGTCGCCAGCAGCGGCGCAGAAGTAAGAATGGCCTGGTAGGGTGTTGATGACCTTATTCTGTACTGCCACCTCTGGAGCTGGGCCCTCAGCCACCAGCTGCCACTCTCCTGCCGCCCAGCTCTGAAAGCAGCAGTGCAGAAGTAAGGGTGGCAATATTGCAACCCCTGTACAATAACTTCATGACCCCCTGCAATTCCCTGTTGGGTTAGGACACCCTGCTGAAAAATGCTGATCTCCCTTTGGAAATCTGTACAGTATAGGATCAAAGCACACAAGGCCAGATTCCACAGGGCGAGGTCACAGATGTCACAGGCCGTGATGTGTTTTTTGTGGTTGTGCATTTGGTAGGGTCCTACTCATGAACAGGGCCTGAGCTAGGATTCACTGTTAAAAAGGCTTCCTCAATAGCACTAATTGACTTCGCAACAGACCTCTCACAATTACCATCACTGCAGAGTCATCTGCTTAGTGAGGTCACAAACTCCCTGGCTGGTACCTAAATCCCATGGCGATGTCCGTGTGTCCTTAGCATACCCATCAGACTCTGACAGATGTCTGTTACTTTTCCTATCAACCCTCATTCAAAAGTGCTAAGTGATTGCCATGACAACCCCTTTTGCCAGCCTCAGAGGATTCATATACAAGCCCAGACAACAAGCACACATTTTTCAATTGTTTGTCTTTCTTTCTTTTCCCCTTTGGTGGAAATAACTGCAGAACAGATGGGCCAGAAACAGCCTTCTTGGGAGTCTTTTGTTTCTTGCGCTTAGGGAGTATAATTCCCATTGAATCAAATAATCAGAGTCAATCAGCATCTCAGGTGTTTTCCCACCTGTCGATCAACAGGCTTTTCCCCCCGAAGATCGTGGAGTCAGTTTAATCCTGCCAGATGATGAAATAGGCAGTGGTGTGGTAGGCATATTGGCCTCAGGATTTTAGAGAGAAGGTGGGTGAGGTAATACCTTTTATTGGACCAGCTTCCATTGGTGAGAGACCAGCTTTTGAGCTATTCCAGGGATCTCCAACTCCCAGCCCATGGGCTATCCCCAGACAGAGCAGTTGTGCAATCTGGCCCTAGAGGCCTGACAGGCCAGAGGGGACCTATGTGTTCCTCTCTCCAAAACTCTGCCTCTTCCCACCATCACCCTGCCCTCTCCCCCCAGTGCACCCTGTACCTTGAGGGACAAGGCCTCAGGAATTATCAGGGGTGGGGGCCTAGCGTGGCGGGCCCTCCCTCTCCACCAGGCCCCAGCCCAGGGCCCTGTAGGCAGGGACTCTTGGTCCTGCCTGCTTGGTGGGGAATCCAGCCAATACACACCAAGCTGCATTATGAATCCCTTGCCCTGGGCTGCTTCCTACCACCCTGGCACCGCTATGGTCTATCCGCCTGAGCGGCAGTCCTTACCGGGACCGGGGCTGGCAGCATAGGTGGTCCGGTCCCACAGGCAGGATTGGCGTCCGGTTTCTCTCCCGGGGTCCAGGGCTGGCCCTCGCTCTGTTCTGAGCTGCTGCAGGAACACCAGGTTTGCAGCCTGGGTCCTTCTAACCTCTCGCTGCCCCCCCCTTTGCCGGCCTCCCTCTGGCTTTATATGCTGGCTCTGCTGGGAGCATGCCGGGGCTCTTTCAGGCAGCTGGGCCTGGGCTACTCCCAGTCCTTCAGTGCAGTGCCTGTTTGCCCCATCACACATGTAAAAGATGAATATTGGTGTAGCAAGGCCACCAGGATCCTTGGAGAAGTGGTTTTAAATTTATTATCTGAAGATAGCTCAGGCTGTCACAGGATAACTTATTAACCTAACTTATTAACCTACATACAATTTCCAGGAGAAAACACTATGGCTACGTCTAGACTGGCCCCTATTACGAAATAGCCATGCTAATTTCCAACTTTGGAATAGGGAAATCCGCAGGGGATTTAAATATCCCCCGCGGGATTTAAATAAACATGTCCGCCGCTTTTTTTCCTGAAAGTAGGAATAAGAGATCCTCCGGAAAAGGGCTTTATTCCGGAGGATCGCACCAGTCTAGACGCTTTTTTCCGGCTTTTCCCCAAGCTGGAAAAAAAGCGGCGGACATGTTTATTTAAATCCCGCGGGGGATATTTAAATCCCCTGCGGATTTCCCTATTCCAAAGTTGGAAATTAGCATGGCTATTTCGTAATAGGGGCCAGTCTAGACGTAGCCATAGTGTTTTCTCCTGGAAATTGTATGTAGGTTAATAAGTTAGGTTAATAAGTTATCCTGTGACAGCCTGAGCTATCTTCAGATAATAAATTTAAAACCACTTCTCCAAGGATCCTGGTGGCCTTGCTACACCAATATTCATCTTTTACATGTGTGATGGGGCAAACAGGCACTGCACTGAAGGACTGGGAGTAGCCCAGGCCCAGCTGCCTGAAAGAGCCCCGGCATGCTCCCAGCAGAGCCAGCATATAAAGCCAGAGGGAGGCCGGCAAAGGGGGGGGCAGCGAGAGGTTAGAAGGACCCAGGCTGCAAACCTGGTGTTCCTGCAGCAGCTCAGAACAGAGCGAGGGCCAGCCCTGGACCCCGGGAGAGAAACCGGACGCCAATCCTGCCTGTGGGACCGGACCACCTATGCTGCCAGCCCCGGTCCCGGTAAGGACTGCCGCTCAGGCGGATAGACCATAGCGGTGCCAGGGTGGTAGGAAGCAGCCCAGGGCAAGGGATTCATAATGCAGCTTGGTGTGTATTGGCTGGATTCCCCACCAAGCAGGCAGGACCAAGAGTCCCTGCCTACAGGGCCCTGGGCTGGGGCCTGGTGGAGAGGGAGGGTCCGGGTCCCCTTACCAGCCCTTTCCGCACCCTGGGAAATCACCCCGGCCAGGAGAGGCTTTTTCCCGGAGCTAGGCCCATATATACCCTGAGAGAGGGGCCTGGACTTTGTACCGGGACTCTAGTACTGTATATGCCCTGACAGAGGGGCTGGGACCAAGACATGGGACCCTAGAAGGAGGACGCACCCCAAGTCCGGGGCGTGCCCCCCGACAACATGTTAGTTCAGTGACACTCTGGCACAAAGAGATGGTTTGGGTTTTTTTCTTCTTAGATGGTAGCAAACTTGATTAGTCTATCCTGGCAGCTTGATACAGTAAACCCTCACGATTCACAGAATAACTATGTGCGATTCTGTGAATCACAGGTCTCTCCCGGCCCACCCTGGGGTGGGCAGTGGGGGCCGGAAGATGCTGGGAATTCAGCGCAGCAGCCAAGAGATGTGGGCAGAGCCGCAGTGAGTTCAGGAGTTGCGGGAAGCTCACCACAGGGGCCGGAAGCCGTGGCTCCCGGTATTTATGAATTTCGCCATTCGCAGTAGTCCCAGGAACGCACCCACCAGGAATGTCGAGGGTTTCCTCTCTTGTTTAGTAGGTGAACTCTGTTGGCTACAGAAGGAGTGCAAAAATCAATAATTAGAATTCATATTTTTAGAGAAGTGATCTCATTTACTGTCTCAAGAGTGGATGGAGCACAGCAGCTGTTTATCAGTTCCCAGAAACACCGTAATAATTGAAGGCAAACTATGCAGCAGGACACGTAGGCAGAATATTATCCAGAGTTGGTTCAGGGCACAGGGACTAACATCAGTATTGTTATGGAAAGTCCTAAGAGATTGCCAAAGCATGATTTTCAATTGAGAGCCACATGCAAATTCTGGGCACAAGTGAATGTCTAGTTTGTTCATACATTAACCAGGCCTGTTTGGATTGGATCTTTGCTTATGCAAGCACCTAGTTATAGGCAGAATATTATCCAGAGTTGGTTCAGGGCACAGGGACTAACATCAGTATTGTTATGGAAAGTCCTAAGAGATTGCCAAAGCATGATTTTCAATTGAGAGCCACATGCAAATTCTGGGCACAAGTGAATGTCTAGTTTGTTCATACATTAACCAGGCCTGTTTGGATTGGATCTTTGCTTATGCAAGCACCTAGTTAGACTCCCAACACATCATCCGCCTTTGCAAATACCCAGTTTGCTAACCACAGCTGCAGTACTTAACCCACATATAGGCTTATGACTGTTGGGCTTCTGAAAAGCAGAGCCCTGCAGGACACAAAGCGTGAAGGCATTGGTTTTATGTCTCAGCCGAAAGTAGGAAATTCAGGAGCCAAATCATCATTGATGCACCACTCATCTGAACAGCACTTCCCAGGACACCAGCCAAGGGTAGCTGTGGGGCTCAGCCCTGCTTGTGAGATCTACAAACACGCTGCCCAACATGTGGTGGATACAGGCAAACCAACTTCTTTGTTGATAACTTCTCTAAGCTCAGGGAGAGTCCAGACTAGAGCTAGGAACCTCTCCACCCCTCCCTGCTGGGAAGAGCAGAGAGCAACTGGGTCTGCTCAGAGTTCAGAAAGGGGCAACAAAAATGATGAGGGGTGTGGAACAGCTGCCACACGAGGAGAGATTAATAAGACTGGGACTTTTCAGTTTGGGAAAGAGATGACTAAGGGGAGGGTCTATAAAATCATGAATGGTGTGGGAAAAGTGTCTAAAGAAGTCTTATTTATTCTTTCCCAAAGTACTAGGAGTCACTGAATAGGTAGCAGGTTTAAAACAAACAAACGGAAGTATTTCTTCATACAACGTACAGTCAACTTGTGGAACTCCTTGCCAGAGGCTGTTGGGAATGCCAAGACTTATAACAGGGTTCAAAAAAGAACTAGATACGTTTATGGAGAACAGGTCCATCAGTGGTTACTAGCCAGAATGGGTAGGAGTGATGTCAGAAGCTGGGAATGGGCAACGGAGGAAGGATCACTTGATGATTACCTGTTCTGTTCATTCCTTCTGGGGCAGCCCATTGGTCACTCTGGATATGCCTACACTACAAAGGGAATAATTGATTTGAATGGCCCTGGGGAGGAGCTATTTTGAAATAGCAGCAGTGGATCATCCACACTACCACTATTTCGAAATAGCAATTTTGAAATAGGCCTTAAACCCTCATTTCATGAGGATTTTTATTCTGGAATAAGAAGCCTGCTATTTCGAAATAACGGGCTTGCTGTATGGATGCTCCCCTTGTTGTTTTGAAGTAACGCTGTAGTGTAGACATGCCCTGTCAGAAGACAGGACACTAGGCTAGACGGACCTTTGGTCTGACCCAATATGGCTGTTCCTATGTCTGCCAGTGTGGCTGCCACAGGGACCGAGAGAGGGCTTTAGATTTTTCAAGTGGCCTGGTAGCACAGACCCCAGGACTGATTCTCAGTGCAGGAGAGTTAAAGGGAGTTTGCTCTGGCACGCTGATTCTCAGCCCCAGCCCCAAGGCAACTTAGAGCTGCAGCCAGGCAGCCAATGATGACAAAACTGTGGCCTCCTTTGTGCAGTGATACAGGGAGCATTAGGGGAAAGGTGAAATAAGCTCTTTGAAGTCATTATATGCACCTGGCCAATATGCAGGGGAGGGGAGAGGAAGTGGGAATAAGAAAGGAAGTGGGGAAAGGCTTGATTTTGGTCCCCCAACACCCTGGTGATGTAGCTGTGCAGTGCTGGTGCAATGGGAAGCATACAGAAACAGACTCAACCCACCTACTGTCTCCCCATGACTGACTCTCTCTGTCAGTTTCCTACCTGGGCTGCTTCTTGTTCAGGAAAGTCCGTGTGGTCACCCTAAGCTCGCTTCTTATTTATACCTGTCATCATGAATCCTACTTAATAAAGTGTTCTGAGCAATGGCTGGCAAGTCCACCGCTGGCCCCAAGAAGACAAAGTTATCAGGTTCTAGGGGGTCCTTACACTAAGTCATTCAGTGCGGCCGCACAAAAATTAAGTAAGCATGGCTATTGCGATTCACCAAGGCAAACTAGGGTGGAGAGGATTAAATGCCCTTGCTGAGTGGTAATGGTAGCCCAGCCCTATGAAATAACCAGCTGAAAAAGCCTGTCCAACAGATGTCAGATAATAAACCTATGCACTTCAGCCCCCTCCTAGTAGAAGGTAATAGCGTGCAAGAGTGGGTACTCCTGGAAGAAGCTTAGGCCCTAGCAGTTGTTAATGCTCAGATTACTGGGTAAAGACATTACTGAAGGCAGCCACGTGGATGGATTTGTGAGTCAGCAAACGTGGAAAACTGCAAGGGACAGGTTAGTTCTGGCCAGAAACTTGCTGAAGATTATTCATCTCTGAAAATGCCCAGGTCTGGCTGTATTCCCTTCAACAGGAATCCTATACTACACAGGCAGTTTCCCTGCTAAGCCAGGTATGCTGAAGGCAAAGAGATGTTTCTTGCATGCTAGTAATAGCTAAGAGGGTAAGCCTGACTGAGCTCATGTCAGCTCAAAAGGTTATAAGGGGCAGTCTGCAAACTCACCTAAAGTGTAAAGAATGCCCCCCAAATATTCCCTCTGACGTTACATATAGAAATTCCTCCAGCTCAGTTGAGTTTTGTGTCACAAATATACAAGGGTACGTCTAGACGGCAAAGCTGTTTCAGGATACCCCACGTCCAAGGATCACGTCTGCTATTTCAAAATAATGGACATACTATTTTGGTATCCCTGTAAACCTTGTTCCACGAAGAATAAGGGATGTCTCAACATAGTGCTTTATTTCGAAATTTAGCACTGTATGGACGTGCCAAATTTAGAAATAGCCTATTTCGAAATAAAATGAAAATAAGATACGCAATTTATTTTGATTTTAGAATGCAGTCTAGATGTACCCCACTGTAGGTTCTTGGCAACTGAATTATCTTCCAGTAGGCTGGACACCTCAAACTAGGACTGATAGGACCTGGTTCTGCCCAGTGCTGAGGGCCATCAGTTCCCACAGGGTTTTGCTCAATACCTTGCAGGATTGGACCCATATCAAGGAAGAAGGAAGCTCTCTAAAAGAAAAGAGGTAAATATTGTACTTATAAATCTATTAAGCTTTGGTACATGTCAATCATTTATGTATATAGATTCCTATTGTGACATGTCTGGGTTTAAATCTAACCCTGCATTCTGCTCTCTCTAGCTATAAAGAAAAATAAGGAGGAAAAGTTTTAAACTGAAAACCTTAAAAAAACCTTTTGCCTCTAAAGGGGTGGGAAAACTTTTTTGGGGTCAGGGGCCACTGACCCACAGAAAAATCAGTCAGGGGCTGCACACAAATGAGAAGACAAAAAAAAATAAAAAAAACCCGACACTTCACAGACGTAGCCCCCAACTACGAAGGAGAAAGACCTCCCCACTTTCCTTTCACACACAAGAGCCTGGGAGGGACCAGCCAAGTAGATTTTGCGTGTTTCCGCAGTAGTAGGTATGGGCTCCCCAGTGCTAAGAGGGGAACTTTGAGCCTCGGGGGCCAGATCCAGGCAAGCAGGGGGCTGCATCTGGCCCCCAGGCCTGAGGTTCCCCACCCCTGGCTTAGAATATAGTGAATTACAATGAACGTTTATGACCAACTGAATGTCACCATGTGACACATTACAGGGGAGATTTCTAAAAGCAGAAAAATCAGATGCCCAACAAAAGCAAGTCAGTTGGAATTTGTACCTAACTCCCCCTTGTCTTTATAAATCTCCCCTTAAGCACAGGTTTTGACCACTTGTACAGATTAAAAGTCCCACAGCACTTTTCTTAGCCGTAGTAATCCAGGTGTCCTGGTCAAATTCCAACTTGGGTAATTACATTCTGCTGGCCTATATGCCTCCTGCTGTTTCAGTTGAATACTGTTCCTGGGCTGCTGTCTTAAATAGACATGTAATAGAGCTGCACACTGTTAAAAAGTTGCCATGTTCCACTCCGGCGTTGCCTGCACATTTGTGTGTGAGCAAAGCAAATTCTGTGTAAAGTTCTGATATAGTTCAAGTTTTCAGAGTGTTTTGGGGATAAATACACTATGGTGGCATTAGGAAATATAGTTCACCACCTATTAGGACACTGCTTCAAGCAAATATTAAATAAGTCAGTGATTTGATCCCTCTGGAATATATGGCTGCTAAGCACAAATGCACACAGTATACTGTGAACATGGTGGCTACGTCTACACTGGCATGATTTTGCGCAAGAACTCTTTTGCGGAAGAGTTCTTGTGCAAAAACTCTTCCGGAAGAGAGCGTCTACACTGGCATGTGCCTTTGCGCAAGAGATGTGCTTTAGCGCAAGAGCATCCTTGCCAGTGTAGATGCTCTCTTGCGCAAGAAAGCTCTGATGGCCATTTTAACCATAGGGCTTTCTTGCGCAAGAAATTCATGTTGCCTGTCTACACTGGCCTCTTGTGCAAGAGCAGTTGCGCAAGCAGGCTTATTCCTGAGCGGGAGCATCATAGTTCTTGCGCAAGAAGCACTGATTTCATACATTAGAACGTCAGTGTTCTTGCGCAAGAACTCGTGGCCAGTGTAGACAGGCAGCAAGTTTTGGCGCAAAAGCAGCCACTTTTGCGCAAGATCGCACCAATGTAGACACAGCCCAAAGGTGTTGCATCCATTACTTCATTTTTATTTTCTGTGGAACTGTTCGAGATCTTGGTGAGAGAGAACTTTACTTGATTTGACCACATACCTGGCCAAATTCTCTTTTCGTTTATACTCTCCCGTGGCAATTCCAGTTGGAAAATTTCAGCCAGTTCCAGTTGGCCAACTAGTTCTTAGATCAGGGCAGTAGTTCTTTTGTGTGTCTGGTCCTGCAGCAGAAACCCATCCAAGACACCTAGGAAATATAAATGACTAATAGATCGCATTTTCACTGGGATTCCACCAGCTGTAGTGGGGTTGCTAAGAATACAGGATGATAATGTATTGAAATAATTGTTAAAGGGTGAAACAGCTACAGTGGATGCACCACATGTATCTCTAGGAGGGGGCTTTCTGGACATTAATGGAGTTCACAAGGACTGAATTTGACCAACCGAGCTTTCTTCCATACTTCAATTTCACAGTGGTGGGGCTATAAAATATACGTTACTCTTAGCTGGTGCTTTTCCCATCATACCTTAGATTATAATCAGGCAAAAGTTATAGCCACACTGTTCTTCAGCTTGTCTGGACAACACTAACCCTAACATTAAACCCTAACCCCTCCCCCCTTTTATTTTATTTATTTATTTTTGCCAAAGTTAGGCACAAGATAACTATACACAGAACAACAGTTCAGATGCAAAACATTGTCAAAGACTAGTACCTAAGATACAGAGAAGACTGAGGTAGGAAGGACTGGCAAGGAAAGTCCATCTTAGGGGGTATTGAAGAGGAAAGGCAGAATGGTTGGACAGGGAGGGAGAGGCTACTCCAACCAATGGTAACAAAGCTTGAGAAGGTTATATGGAAGAGAAAGGAGGAATATAAAAGATTGGAAATGGGGACAGTCCGTGGATGAAATGAGATCAGAATTGCAGACAGAGCCCTGAAGGAGGGGACAAGGACTTGGAATCTGATGAGGAAGGAGAAGGGAAGCCATTGTGGAAATCAAGCTAGCAATTATCCAGCCCATCCGAAGCCCAATCTCATACACTTGAGCTGCCTTGGTATTCTCGGTATCATTACATTCCATGTGACTCCTGTAATAAATGGAAGTTACTAACAGTAAAAGCACAGGGTTTTATGTAAGGTCACAGCCACAAGGCCATTATGTTTTCATTAGCGCAGTAAAGTCCATGAATTATATATGCTTGGTTATATAAATCTGTTCTTTTGCAAAGAGACCTGCACCGCTGCTTTTTTTACACAGTAAAACAAATTGAGAAGCATAAAATGGGCCAGATCATTCCCTGATGTATTAGCCAACGATGAACTTGGCCCAAATGGTATTTACTTCTTCCTGACTGTAGCAACGGCTGCATTATTAATCATGAAACTAGCAGAAGCCACTAATGCTTTGAAATACATACGTTATGGCTTTCAAGTCACTTGCAATAAGCACAGCTAGCATTGTTTTATACCTTGAATATAGCACTCCGGAGGTTTATGGGAAGCGCAGATCCTTGTACGCTTATTTCAGTCGTGCCATTATTGCTAGAATGTAAATACTTGTTCCATTCAGATCAAGACTGGCCAAGGTCAGTTTATCAGAGGATGATCATGTTGTTAGGATGAGAGAACTCACCAGGTACTTAATTATCCCAGTAAAAGGTAGCTGCACAATAAGGCTTGTCTCTTCTAGCATTGAAGTTGATGGGATGTCATAGGGATTCAAATAAGGTCCTAACCAGCCTTAAGTAGGTTAATTGCTTTCCACTATGTTTCATGCACAAGAGTAAAAGAGTCTTAGGAAACCCCAGTGCAAATGTATTTCTTTTGAACTCAGCTGATTTCTTCTCTTTGGGCATTTCCCTCCCTCCTCCTCCCCCTCACCTTCCCCTACTCCCCCCCACACACACTTTTTGCCCTTTGCTTTGGGTTAATCACATGGTGTGCTCTTGAAAGCCCTCAGGGAGACCTTCTGGTCTCCCAGGATGCCTGGGTTAGGTTGAATTTCCCATGGGTTGGCTCAGACTTGTAATAACACAATCACCTTGCAGCACAGAGTAGTTTCCAAAAATAGGAACTCCTCTGTGAGATGGTGGAGAGACTCCCGTAAAGGTGGAGAGGAGCAATTAAGGTAGGAAAAAAGCCGCTCACACACTAACACCCGTACTGAAGCAATGCGGTGAGGTGCCGCATGACCATTTCGCAGGAATATTTTTGTAGCTGCACTAGAGACAATAATAACTACGAATAAGAATTACAGTAATCATAGACATTAGTGCCTTTCCTTCGAGCAGTTGAAAATGCCTGACAGACATAAAGAAACCTCGCAGCAGTACTCTGGAGCACATCGATGTCCATTTCTAGGAGTGGTTAGAAAAAACAGGTGCATTTAACTTCTGGGTACCTCATGTACCTCATAGGCTTTATTTATTTAGTAATTGATAATGGAAGCCACGAGGGATGTCAACATATAGTTATTAAAATGATTAACCGATAAGCCTAGGCTTATAATCCAAATGACTACATGCAACCCCTCCCCCTTGCTGCCTCTGTATCAGAAGCAGCGGGGGGGGGGGGGGGGGGCCTCTAGGGAGTAGGCTTAAGCCTCCCTCCCTCCACCGTCTCTCAGCCTGTATCAAGAGGCAGCAGCGCAGGGAAGCAGATGGGAACCGGTCTGCATGGGAAGCCAATTTTTAAACTGGCTCCCCTCGTGGACTAGCTCCGCCTGCTACCTCGCATATTGTGATTCCACCGCATATTATGATCTCTCCATGAGAGAGGAATTATCCCTACTAGTGGGTCTTCACATGCAGTCCTGCAAAGCACTTCATACAAGCCAACAAAACCATACGGTCAACATCCCTGAAGGCTGCAGTTAAGTGACGCAAAATCAGCAAAGCTGCTTTGTCTTTGCCTGTTGCTAAAAGGCTGTCTTCCCATCAGTATCTCCATTCTACATCCATATTTAAAAATAGTAAGTGCATGGGAACAAGGTGCCAATATGTGACCAGAGGCAGAGTTGGCGGGATGTCCAACAGCGACCCAGAGACAATTCCAAGTGGCAGGCAAACGTCTCTTTTCAAGTCACATCCATCTAACCCTATAGAGTTCAAGGGAGATTTGAGAAAAAGGTCAGTATGGATGCTCCTGGGCAAATGACAGAAGAATTACACCTGTGATCCTTGCTTACCCAGCTGCTTATTAAAAGACTGTCAAGGAAAATAATTTTATTAGGCAAGTTGGCCTCAGGAGTTACCTGTGAAATTAACGAAGAGTCCTGTGGTATCTTGAAGACTAACAGATTTATTTGGGCATCAACTTTGGTGGGCTTTGTCACAGGACTCCTCAGTCTGTTTCAGCAAAAACAACAACACGGCTGCCCTCTCTAAAATTTGTCACCATGTGAAATTAAAGAAGTATGCCCCAGGAGAACATGTTTGTTTCTTCCCCAGCTATTTGTTCCATGTGAAACTGTAAAATAAGACACAGAACATAAGTTAATAGTCTCATGGCAGTCTCTGCATATGCTTCTTTAGCAATGTGATCAGGATCAGCTACCAAAAACATGGACAGTATGTACCCTGTTATACAGGGTTACCATAGTGATGATGCATTAACAGTAAGAACTCTTCAGTTCATCTGATATTGCTGTTCTAGAACAGATGCAATTAACACAACATTCTAGCCGATGTTTGTTTTTCTACTGCATATGAGCACATGTCATGTACTGGTGCCCTGATCAAATCATCCCGTTTACAGCTGATGTTCATGCAAACATCCACAACTCCTGTTGAGGACCAAGAATGAAGGCTCAAACTCTAGCTGTATACATGAGTTATAATCTCTGTCTCTCAAAGGATTTGGGCAGTGTTTGAATCTCACAGTGCTCCACTTTGTTCATGAAATAGTCTTTTGCATGATTTCCCTTTTAAAATAAAATGGCAACGAAGAACCATTTTGGTTTCCTTTTGTCAGGCGTGGTGCAGCCCATCACATTCAGAGCAACTAGCTCTCTGAAAGCAATGAGTAGTCCTGTGGCACCTTAGAGATTAACAACAACATATATAGTAACATGAGCTTTCATGAGGGAAAAAACCCATTTCCTCAGATGAGCTTGAGTGAGGTTTCTTTGGGAAGCACTTGTGTGACTATTTCACACTCTTAATCAGCTGGGATGGCTCATTTACAGGAGCAGCTTCAGAATCCATTTCAAGAGACCCTCAAAAGCCAACTCAATGAATTTTCTGTGATTTCTTTTTTAAAGCATTAACTAACCAGATCTGTTCTTGGCTCAGGCAGGCAGGAGGCTATTTCAGATTAATTCACCTGGGAAAAGGGGACTAATTGAACTGCATTTTGGTGAATAGCTTAGAACTCATCTTGTTCAGTGAGCTTCCGATAATTTGCTATGTCCAGAGCCGGTCTAAATAGCACAAGTGCTATAAGGGCTGTTTCCAGAGGTGAAAGTAAGTGGACGCGCCCTGGTGCACAGCTCTGGCAAGAGCTGGCTGAGCTGCGGCAAAAGCCAGCAGGGAGCTATTTGAAGAGCTGTCAGGGACCCAGGTTGCAATGGGACAACACCTGTAAGAACTTGTAAGTTCCTTTCACTGCTGGCTGTTGCATCATCCAAATAAGGTTCATGATAAGAGCCCGGTGTGTTATTCTGATGAGTTCAGAGTCAAGCAGAAGAAGAATCATAGAATCATAGAATCATATAACTGGAAAAGACCTCAGAAGGTCATCAAGTCCAGCCCCCTGCTCTAGGCAGAACCAATTCCAACTAAATCAACCCGACCAGGGCTTTGTCAAGCCGAGACTTAAACACCTCTAGGGATGGAGACTCCACTACTTCCCTAGGTAACCCATTCCAGTGCTTCACCACCCTCCTAGTGAAATAATTTTTCCTAATATCCAACCTGGACCTCTCCCACCACAACTTGAGACCATTGCTCCTTGTTCTGCCATCTGTCACTACTGAGAACACAGCCTCTCCTCATAAGTCATATGCTCCAGCCTCCTAATCATTTTGGTTGCCCTCCGCTGGACCCTCTCCAATGCGTCCACATTCTTTTTGTAGTGGGGGGCCCAGAACTGGACACAATACTCCAGATGCGGCCTCACCAAAGCCGAATAAAGGGGAATGATGACATCTCTGGATCTGCTGGAAATGCTCCTCTTAATGCAACCTAATATGCCATTAGCCTTCTTGGCTACAAGGGCACACTGTTGACTCATATCCAGCTTCTCATCCACTGTAACCCCCAGGTCCCTTTCTGCAGAACTACTACATAACTGGTTGGTCCCCAGCTTGTAACTATGCTTGGAATTCTTCTGTCCCAAGTGCAGGACTCTGCACTTGTCCTTGTTGAACCTCATCAGATTTCTTGTGGCCCAATCCTCCAATTTGTCTAA